CTGATGCTCATCCAATTCTCCTTCCATTACAAGATAATCATTCACGTAAACTCAAACGTTTAGAAACCCAAGAAGCCCTGATGCCAAAGAAGGATCTACGGATCAACTAGGTCAAACCTTAAGACTCTGTGAACATGATGTGTTGGAATCAGTTCAAAAGGGGAGAAGAGATTATCAAGAGACAGGAAACGAATTGAAAGATCAAGGGAAAAAAAATTCTAATCTATATGTCCTTGGATGAAACACAGCAGAATAACAGTACTCAAGAAGCAAATGCAGAGGAAACTTTCCTTCTGGATGTGATTTTCAATGTAGAAATAGTGGGTTTAAAAGAACGATTTTGTTATTACTTTACTATAAATGTGTTTGAGAATTTTACTTAACATATAGGCACTCAGAAAACCAATACATCCAACTGGGTACCAGCAGTCCTACATTTTTTCCACAAGTCATGACATTCACCTCACAAAAACCAGATTAGAAAAATTGTAATTCAGCCCCCATTGCTATTCAGAGTATAGGTAAGGAAGAGGTCGGGTAGGAGAATGGCAAATTTAATGACCGCTGTCTTCTTTCCAGTAGAACGTATCCTTGAGGGCAGGACAAAGGCGGCAACACCACCACCAATGAACCTAGCGCAACCTTCAGAACACACCGACAACAGGCCCGCTAAAGCCAAATGCACAAATCCCGAGGCACGGTAAAGGGAATTCCCAAGATGGCTCTCAAAATCCATTCCCTAAGTAAATTCCTGAATGCAGCAGGATTTCAGAATCAGGAAAGGACCACGGAGAAATGTGGGTTTCGGAGTGGGAACACCACACGGGGGTGCCCACACTGCCGACTCCAAATACGACACCAGCAAATTTCAGGCGGGGGTCAGAGGCGCCGCGAGACCCTGAAACTGGGCGAGCGCCAAACGACACCCCCGTCTCCCTGTCCGACCACACGCCAGGGCGGAGGGGAAACCGGCTCCAATTTCACCTCCGGCTTCCCCTCCCCGACAGCCCCCAGCCAGGAGGCTCGGCAGGAAGGGCCGCGCGGCGGCCGAGGGATCCCCGCGTGGA